CCCCCACATATGTATGTTTTGACGGACTAGGGTCCCAGTGGAGAGTCTGTTGTAAATCTTGACATATGGATGTGTGACCTCATTTTGTCCTTTACAAATGATATTAAAGAGATAACTACAAACAAGAATGCCTAACATGACACTGAATGAGAAGGTAAATTCATTCTGACACTCATGATTCCCACTTGGAGCTCAGTGAAAACATGGGGAATACAACTTAAAAAACATATATTCAATAATGTTGTGGAGTGAGCTACACATTGGTCTTAAACCACTATATAAATAGACAACTTACAAATATCATGGTCTAGTTTTGAAATATTTTTAATGAACATATCTTCTCAAAGACCTTGTGAGTAAAGAAAGTCAACTTTACTTTGTGCCTGATGTATGAGCCTGTGAAAAATGTCCTACTTCTTAGCACCAGCACAATGTTTTTTCCAGCTGCAGAACATTTTGTCACTAAATCTCACATAACTTGGAAGCAGGTATTGTTGAACCGTCAGGAAGTGTTGAGTGGTTATTTAATAATAAAAAAGAGAAATGTAGCAGAGGTATAGTTTTTCTAACACAATATGAGTTTTCCTCTTTTGTAAAAACAGAGTTTTACATGAAGAATGAAACCCTTGATGAAAATAAGTCAGTCCTTAATCACATTTTTGTTCGAGTAGGCTGTTAAGTTGATTGGGGATTAAATCAGAGACTCTAATATGCTGTAGTTAATACATTTTAAGCCATTATTGTTTGTCATCTACATTTAAAGTAAGAATGGTGGGTTACTAGAGTATCAGAAGCACTATTGGCAGAGTAGGGTGGGTGTGACTGCAGGGGGTGGGGAGTGAAGGTGTTATTTATGGATATTATGGCAGACAGCCCCTGTATAATGCTGGCCACAGGTTTTCACGGTGGGGGGTGGTGGACCTCTCCAGGGGGTCAGCAAAGAGTTTCAGGAGAGGATAAGTTGATGGAAGTGAAAAATATTGTATCAGTTTTGAAAATGAGATTAACCGAAAAGATCAGAAAGATGAGAATTGGCTCATACAAGAAATTGAACTCATTTTACATTGTTCTCAGTGTGCTTACAGAGAAACAGGCATACAGCATGAACAAGGACAATAAACTGAACAAATAAGTAACAGAATAGTACAATTTATTTTAATTATTGTGATTGATGGCCCAGACTGTTCTATACAAGTAAAAGGAAAGTAGGAGCGCATGCAGAATATTGGAAACACTAATGTCCAGCAACATAAAAGTATACACCATGAGATTCATAAAGAAATTGTCTCATGAAATCAATGATACATATGTAGACTGGGGATTGATCTGTGCATTGAATGCTATACATTTTATTTAAAGTGGGATCACTTATAATGTGTGTGATTTGTTTAAAGTGATAGTTCAGAGATACAGTAGTTTTGGGACTTAAACTGTTTTTACCACTTTGTAATAAGAAACTGTTTGAGGAAAGTATTTGTTTTTTGGTTTGATGATGATGTCTGAAGTTATGCAAAAATAACAAGGTAATCTTTGTGATTACTGAGTGTCTAAATAAGAACAATTGAAATAATTATGATCGCACAGGCATCTAGAAAATTGAGCCAAACAAGGCAGGTAAATTAGGTGGAGTGAGAACAGGTCCACAATCACAGACTTTATAAAATCCATGGTGTTGGTTGGTCATCCTTACTAATGCAGTGTAACCTCAACTTGTGCAGAAACCAGAAATCCCACCATGGTTTCTTGAGAAAATTATTTTTGTGTGATTCTTAAAAGTGTTTGGGAGTCAAATCAAGCCTTTTCCCCACAACTTTGTGTGCGACACATAAAGTATGTAATTTGTCACCAGACTGGATGTGTGCAAAGTTTCCTGAGTATTTAAAGCATATTTAGGATGTCATAAATGTTGAAAGATTGAAAATAATAAAAATGCAGGGTCCTTGCCCCACTCAGTGCTCAGGGCCTAATCTTGAGGTCTTAAAACTAGAGTTTGACTCGATAAATCCGGAACCACCAGGCGGAGGGAAGAGGACCAGTGAGAGCTGATATATGAAAGTACTTGAAGTGGAACAAATTTCAAACAAATTTTGAATTAATCAAAATGTGTAGAGCCAAATAAAATGGACCAAACCTGGAGCTGTACAGACCCCTGGGCAGTTGCCTGCTTTGTCCAGTTGTTTGGCCACGTGCTAAATTTCTTTGTCTTGCAAAATACATCACATCTTGTCCATCACTGTATGGCACACTGGTGCTTTACTGCCGAGGACAAGGCCAGACTGCAGAGCATCAATCGCTCCGCCGAGAAGGTGATCGACTGCAACCAGCCTCGCCAGACCAGTGACAACAGGGTCAAATGAGTTCTTAGGTCTGTTTGTTCAGGCCCGGGCCCCAATCACTTCACTGCATTAATGTGCTCACCTGTGAAATCTGAACTTTCTGTGGTCAACAACATTCATAACCTGCATACTAGAAATTGTGAATATCTATTGTTCATATTGCACATGTCTTTTTCTAGTGTTTTTTTCGTATTGTTTCTTATTTTTATATTTCTATATTCATGCTTCCACAAACACACCACAGCAAATTCCTTTTGTTGTGCTTGGCAATAAACCCCGATTCTCAATTTAAAGGTCAGGTTGTAAGAAGCTTTACCTGTTCTTAATTGTTCAGCTGTTCATCAATTATTTTTGTTGGTCATAATAATAATAACTCTATTTATAGAGCACTTTTCAAAGTAGCAAAGGGCAGCAACATAAAACAGAGCACTGAAGAAATGAGACATTGTTGAGGCTGTTTGCTGCAGGTTTTCCTTGTGAAAGTCGTCTCATCTGATATGGACGCTTATTAAAGTGTTTGACAGAAGGACCCGAGCTGCTCCTGTGGGGTGAAAATGAAGTAAATGGGTGTGATGTCCCTTTAAAGGCTGATGCCCCCCTGCAGCGTCGTCACTGCGCAGAGCAGTTTGAACCAAAAAGCGGAGTGACCTTCCTCCGCTCTCAGTCTGAGAGGCGCAGCACTGAAGCAATAAGCCGGTCGCAGCCGCATTAGCCTCAGAAATGAACAACAACTTAGTCGGAGATGAAGTCGGGTAAGATGCGCTTATTAAAGCCTCCTGCTGCGGAGGCGCCACACCGTAAAAACGCGTTGTAACTCACAGTCGCTGCGCTCTGCGCTCCGAGCTGTCATTTGACAGCTAACGCTAGCTAGCAGGCTAAGCTAGCTGTAGTAACTTAGCTAGCCCGAGGAAAGACGGGCAAACTAAAAAGTGAAAGTAAATCATTGAAGTCGCTCAGTTGTTGGTGTTTATGGAGGAAAAAGCCACGTTTGTCTCCGGTGCTGTCCCTCACCTTGACAAGGGGAGGTGTGGAAGTGCGGTGACTTATTTCAGTGTTGTTTGCAGTTAGCTCGCAGCCGCTGGGTTAGCTTAGCTGACGCTTTGCCAGCGAAGCGAAAGTCTCCTCTTCTCCACTTCGCCGGAGCGAGGACATTTAGCGGGCACAGCCGGAGGATGGAGCATCTGACCCCCTGCTCCGGTCGCAGCCACCGCGTTTATCAGTGATGTGTCACAGCGCTCACCTCAAAGGAACGTGTGTTAACTCGTTAGCTTGTGCGATACCAGCGCCTTTTAAACTTCCAGCTGCCGAGTGCACCGGTGCGCATGCAGGGAGCCGGGCAGCCGCTCTCCTCTCCTCCGCTCTGAGGGGGTGACACACCGGGCTGGTGACGCCGGTGGAGGACTGTGTGTGTGTGCGGGGGGGACTGCTGCAGCTTCTGGGGGCAGCTCAGTGAGGTGTTCGCCGTGGCTCTGTCCCGCAGTGACTTACGTGGCAGGAGGTTCATAAAAAGACCTTTATTGTCGAGGCCATTTCAGCCAATGTTGCAGGACTGGATCTGAATATGAGTCACAGTAGACGGGTGTTTGAACTGTGGCTGTGTGGAGCTCTCCTCATGCTGCAGCAGCTCGGGAGCCAGCGATGCCTCGTGTTGTGTAATATGTGTAGTTGACTGTTTAGTCAGCTGGAGCTTTGTTATGGTTCTGAAAACTGCAATCTTATCCACCGAGAGCTCAGAGATTTCCAGTCCCCGGTTAAGCGATATGTGTTCTATGGTTTTGTGTGAGACATTACAGTGATGCTTGTCTGGCAGTTCATGAATTACTCAAAGTGATGATCAATGACTAACTGGATTTATCATTTATCTGCTCTTCCCAGGAAACTTTTTGTGGGTGGATTGGACTGGAGCACCACACAAGGTAAGTCACACCCGTTTTAACCTGTGAAGGCTCACCCACTTCATGTGTCGACTAATTTTTAATTCACAGGAATTTCTCTGGATGCCTGTTGTTAGCTTCACTGTTGTCTCCAGGATGGGCAGTTGTTCATGGTCTTGTTTGGTGGCTGAGTTTGAATAAACCCTGCAGATTGTCAGGTCACAAGTGGGTATCACTTAGCTGCACAGTACATGTACATTTGGATGATATTAGTCATATCAGATATTAGTATTTTTTTGCCTCTGCCTAACATACACAGTGAATGGTATTAAAGTGAATTGTTGTTTGATTTTAAAATAAGGGTGTGTGACATGGTACCTGGAAATAATAGTGATGATGTTCAAGCAGACGAAGATAGTAATTTTTTTTGTCATTCTTATCGTAAGTCCTGGTTTAAAGCATTGTTTCGTTTTATTTAAAGAAAATACTAATGACACAATAACATGGATGTATTTAAAGCAAGTGGTTGATTTTGTAAAACATAATTGTGCCGTGTGGAATACCATGTTTAAATTCACTAATGCCGGTCACATACCATCAGTGCAGTTCTGATAAATGTGTCGCCCTAAGCAAAAGATAACAACTAACTTTTTTACATCCATAATTACACAAAGTAGCACATGTTGTGCGATGAAATAGATGCACTAATATAGCCCAAAAGTTGTGTATTAATGTTAATAACCTATCAAATTACTGTATTGACATTATCAATATCCCGAGTTAAAGTGAACAAAATCATAATCCCTGTCACATTTCATAATTACTGATCATCTGCAAACCACAATCGGTGGTAGAGTCTACATTATAATACATCACGCCTGTGTATGCATCTCTCATTCAGAGCCGTCCAGAGTAGGTTTAGTCTGTTTTAAGCTTTTTTTTTACTGGTTCATGCTCAGCTGGCCATTGTGTAACTTTGCAGAAGGGTTTGTCCATGTTAACATTGAGATCTGAACCACAACGCTGTGTTACACTGAGCCTGTTTCCCGGCCGATGCCCTGGGGCTTTCTAGCAATGAGAAAAGCAATTACGATAACCCTCTCCAAAGTGACTCCTCGTTTGTTCAAACTTGTACGCTCATCTCCATGGGCGTGTGCAGGCATTGCTGTAGTTGGTTGTACGTTTGGTGCTATGCAAGATGACAGTGGGTCATTGCTTGCTCTGTAGCAGTGTCAATATGTGAGCAATTGTTTTCCTATAAAAACATT